TCTGACGTTACCTGTTGAGGAAGATCATTTATGTAGATCAAGAAGAGAAGAGGCCCTAGTACTGAGCCCTGGGGGACCCCACTAGGACATTCCATAGCCTGAGATAAAGTGAAATTAACCCTAACCTTAAAGTGTCGATTTTTTAGGTATGAAGTAAGCCAATCGATTAGAGGTGGTTTGATACCTAGTCGTTTGAGCTTGTTGATAAGACATAAGTGGTTAACCTTATCAAAAGCTTTTGAGAAATCAAGGTAAATGACATCAACCTTTCCCTTGCAATCGAGGATGCTTGTCCATCTGTCCACCGCAGTCAGCAGGTTGGTTATACAAGAGTAACCCTTCCTGAAACCATGCTGTTGGGGTGAGAAGAAATTTAAGGACAGTAGATAGTCATTTAAACCGTCGCATATCAGGGACTCCATGAGTTTTGAAGGTAATGACAGAAGAGCCACCGGCCGATAACTTGAAGGTTCATTGCGTCGACCACCTTTGAAAATTGGTGTGATGTGAGCCAACTTCCAATTTTCCGGTAATTTGCCTCGGCTAAGCGAGTGTGAAAACATCACGCTAAGCGGCGTTGCCAGGATTGAGGCTGCCTCCCTCAGTATGGCAGGATGAACCATATCCGGGCCAGGAGAAGTGTCAAGTCTTAAGTGCTGCAATTTCCGGAACACCAAGTCAGCGCTTAGGTCCACTTCAGAAAGTCCTGTGGAGTTGGAGATGAAACTGTCGTCAATAAAGTTGATGTCAGCCGGTTGAAATGTTTGAGAGTAATGGGCCGCCAGAAGGTTAGCGGCGTCGCCATCGTTGTTGGTCGGGCCGTTAAGACCTAGCAGTTGAGAAACTCCTGTTTTGGCTTGACGAAGAGAGGCTGCATAACGGAATAGGCTTCTAGGGTTAGAGGCGAATTTGTCCATAAGCTTTGTTTGGTACTGAAGCCTGTCTTCTCTTATAGCCTTCGTGCATGTGTTCCTGATATGTTTGTATTGCCTATACGCTCCATCGTTATTAGTTCGTTTGTATTCCGCCCAACAGTGCCGTTTGCGGCTTAGGAGGCGAAGGGTACGGTTCTTGATTACTGTAGGTGGCTTGAAGCTTTTGGGAACCGTTTGAGGAACTGAATGGTCTGTAGCACATAAGAGCGTGTGCAGTAAAAAGTCCCAATGACCATCCACATCGATTTGAGGGTGAACATCCCAAACGACCTGTTGTAGATAGTCATGTAGAGCTGGCACGTTCAGCCGTTTAAAATTCCAACGCAGATTATTGTTGGGATACCTTAGCTTAGTTTTGATGACAAAACTGAAGGCTATGACGGCATGATCGCTTTTTCCCAGAGGAGCCAGGATTGAGAGGTTGTCGACTAGGAATTCTTCGTTAGTGAATACACAGTCTAAGCGCGATGGTGTCTGACTGTTTCTCCAACGAGTTGCCGACCTCACATTTTCATATAAGCCCAAGTTATCGATGAGGTTGTAGAACCGAGCTTCAATTGAGTTGTCGCCTCCAGTGTACGTGTGTTCCGCGAAGTTGACTCTAGGGAGATTAAAGTCCCCTAGAATCAGTATGTGTGTGAAACCGAGACGGATAGAGCGGGATAGTCCTTCCAGCATACGACTATCGTACTCGGTGTCGGCAGTTGGCTTCCTGTAAATGACTCCGACTAGACACCTGGAAGTACTAGACAGTCTTACAGAGCACCATATGGATTCCTCAAGATTGTTAAACTCGAGGTTGTGAACCTGGTGCACCTCCAAGCAAGAGCTTATGTATATGGCTACTCCGCCCCCAATTCCTGTTTTTCTGTCGTTGCGGAACAAAGTCATCCCAGTCAATGCTAACTCTTGGTCCGAGAACTGAGAAGATATCCAGGTTTCAGATATTCCTATCAGATGGGCCTTATTAGCGCTGCTAAGTTCACGTAGTTCATCCAGTTTGTTTGGTAGACTCGCGGCGTTCATATATAAGCAGTTTATGCTTTCAATTTGGAACGCGTGAGCTTCGTCCTTTTTTTCTGTATGAACCTTGTGTGAATGGACAGGTAGCCCACCTATGTGAGGTTTGCCGAGGTGGTAGGCCCTGTCAAAGCAACTTTTACGAAAAAAACAAAGATCCTGCAATACTGTTCAAAGACGAGCCACTAAATTTGGGTTCGATACTTTCAGAATCGGTGTTATATCAATAAGGCTATTGATAACAGAAAGCGAACAGATATTTAAGGAGTTAGATATACTCTGCTTTTCGAAAAACCAGCTTGATTCTCTGAGGTAGGTATTTGCAGACGAAATTGAGCATATAATTCCATTCAGCTTAGCGCGTAGGAGCAAACAAATGCCAAAAATAGATAGTTCTATAAGTCCTTGACAGTGATGTTGATCTTGTTAATTTACTGAACACCTAGTTGGAGGCGCTCGGCCACGCATCCGTGCCTTTCAAATTCTAGCCGGCTCAGACAAAACGCTTCTCCATATGCCGATAGCCTTTCAAATACATCTTTGAACCATTTCATTTCTGATTTGGTTGGTTTGACATGCTTCGAGTATAAAGGTGTTACGTGTAGAGGTGTTTTCATACTCCGAAAACTCGTGAAATCTTTAGTGGTGGGACCGATGTTATCTGGTACACCAAGCAGTAACCTTTGAGTTTGTTTCTTGATGGCGTATTACATACACTTTTTGTATTTGTGATATTTTATCCATATTTTCGAATTTTCTCCTCACCCATTAGTCTATTTTATCTTCGTCATGACGGATATAGACGCCTAAGCCATTTAAAATTGGGACTCTCTCGCCTTCCACATTTCAACTCATACTAGTCTGGCCGGACAGGTTCTGCTATGCAGAAGCTGACTTGAATAAGCACGGTGTGATTGATCAGCATTCAAAACTCGTCGCAGTAGTGAAGACGCTACCGCGCGATTTTAACAGGTATGTCGTACAGAGTATATTTACTGGTGGTGTTTCAGAGCCTTACGACGCACTGAAGAAAACTGTTCTTGAACATGGGGATTTGACCGACCGACAGAGGTCATGCCAACTTTTCAACAACATCGACTTGCATTATGACTCAGCAACAGAAATGTGCCTACGTATGCGAGAGGTCATTGGTTAACCGACCTTGATGGGGCTTCTCAGTCAAAGAGAGGCTTCGAAAAACACAAAGTGACCATACGAACCTCCGTTATATTCTGACTCGTTATGTCATTATTTATCATAATCACAGCCCCTCCCTAACTCCTCGAAAGAGTCCTTCACGAAAAAGACCTGTCTCTGAATGACGAGAGGTAGACTATCCTGCTTGGTGCTAATATCATGACAAGTATGATAAGTCTCCTAGAAACTGTGGAAAGCCATTTTATTATTATTATACTGTTCTCTAATCTCCGAAATATCTTACACGGAAAATTTTTAAGGAAACTTTCCGCTGTCTCGCGTTAGCGGCAGCCGTTGCCAGTAAATATAGCTGCTGTTGTACATCACTGATATGATGCGGAAAGTTCACTATCTCCTCGACACTAAGGCAGCACTTAGTGTCCTCTTTGCGGATCCTAACAACCGACTTCACGAACTGGTCTTCAACTTGTAGGTGGCAAATGAGAAATAAATTACCACATTTGGCAAGCGATATATTTATATTAATGTGAGCTTATGCCAAATCACTCACTGGATTTTTGTTGTTGTAGATATTTGTATGCCAATGATTGGTATAGACATGCTACAACACCACAATCCACTTATCGACACACATAAACAGAGGTTAGTGGACAAAATTACTGAATTATCTGTCTGCGTATTTCCCTTTTCCCGTTGTAGATTATTCTCAGTCACAGAAAGGCTAATATTAAAACTATTTTGTCGATTTTATCGGCTCGACGTCTTCATTACGTTGAACAGACTTTATCATTCAGGTGTTCGAGCAACCATCCGGTTCATAGAAGAAGGATTTTGTCAGTCTGATTTGAATAAACATATGAAGTAGTGAGCATGTTGCTGTGTAAGCTCCCATAAATCTAGGATGATTGGACACGAAAAATGTTCTTTCGGCCATCTCCAAACTGGACGCCTGTTCTGACCATGTTCACATTGATTTGATAGAACCTTTTGCGCCTCAAATGAGTCCTTGTGCCTCATATCGTGTTTAGACCGTGTCACTTGATGACCAGAAGCACTGTTCATCGAGGACATTACCGATGAAACAGTGGCACTCGCCTTCGTTGAACGATCGGTAACAAAACCCCGTTGCCCTTCAACTATCACTACAGTCAGTGGACTGCAGTTCAAATATGAATATTTTCGTTGTCTTATTACACTACCAGGTGGCAAACTCCGGATATATATGTCATCTTTAAGTCGAGAACGGCTTCAAAACCCACAAATGTTCTCCCTATTTAAGTGGCTACTTTGGCTAGCAACTTTTTAACCCGTATATGTAGACCAGTCTTAGACGACTGGCCAACACCATCTGAGATCTTTTCACAATTACACAGTCCTGAATAACGAAGGATTCGCTGATCCATAGAGTACAGGCTGATACACTAGTGCATTGTTTTGAAATAAAGACATGAAGCCCTCAACGTATTATAAAAAATTGGAAAGGGATATTTATTGTGACCAGTATTCATTAAAAACTCATTAGCCGCTGCGTCACTCATACTTTATGAATTTTCTTTCTCTGAATCACTTCCTATTTTAATTAATATCTGACGTATTCCCTCGTTTGCGAGTATAGGTTTTAGAAATCCACTAACGCTGCCTTGATGTCTAGTGCACAGTGCAACTGCGAGAAAGTAGACACCAATTCGGTTTTATATGTACTTGGTAAACCCAAGCAATATTTTGACAGTCAAGGAGGGTCAGTAACAACTCAAGATGGGTGGTTAAGAGTTGATCGAAGACATCCTTATAATATCAAAAAAATTACAGTTAAGCAATTATTTGAGTAGGCATTGCATTTCCCGTTATCCTATATTGAATGTTGAAAGTTTTGTGTGGTTGAAATAAGGACCTCGCGCCTCAAATGGTCTGTTTCACAACCCGAATAATGGCATTCTGCAACTACCAGTCTGTCATCTTCTACACATTATACTAATGGTAACTACCAGAAGTAAAGTTCTACCAAACTTCTACCTCTGTACTCTTCCTACTTCATTTTAATCTTTGACTGACGACATAAAGTCTCTAAATCTGATGAAACTGATATTTTCTTGTGCTCCAAATGTTGCAATGTACATGAACTTCATTTTGTCAGATTATCCATGGTCGAAAAACAGGATTTCTGATAAGGCTAAAATTTTTAGAAGAATCACGTTTGAGAACATGTCTGAGATGGTTTTATTGTGATCCATCTATATTTAATATCGAGTTTAACTCACTATCTACATCAAACATATCACATAGATGATCATCTATGCCTCCAATTATATCATTAACGTAGCTGTAACTCAATATATTAGTTTACCTTCGTTATCAGAACCAGGGATGCTGAAGTACAATATAATTAACCACTGAATGAACTGAAACTCCCTCCGGTTGAATATAGACCTTGACTGACTAAGAAACGCGACTAGGATCGTTGGTCAATTCGATCCGAGATAAAACAACCAATGTGTAGCTCGATAATAGAAATCATAGGCTAAATCTGAATGCGTCGACGAAGTTCTGACAAACAGGGTGGTTGAATGATTTCTCATAATGTTAAATTCTAGTTAACCCTCCACTCTGGTTATTGAGATAAAATAAATGACTAAAGTGTATACAACGCTAAACTGCACAATGTAAAGAAGGAAATAATTGAGTAAATTTTAGCGTAGATCAACAACGATATCACTGGGTCGGCTTTTGTAATGGGAGGTTTATATGTTTTTATGGTTTATAAGTTCACCTCAATAATGATGTGTTTTCATAGCTCCAAATAACAAAGTAGTTACATATTATGCTAAAACGTTACGTCGTTGACATTTCTATTAACATATACTTACTACTCAGTGAAAAAATTAACAGTTTAGTGATTGTTAAAATATTAGTAAAGTTTTGAGATATTTTTCAGTGAAAAACTGAAATAAGTTATCGAACGGCTGGTAGCTAGAAAGTTTTGAAATGACAGCTTTATCCCAGAATTATCCTCTGATAACGTCCAAACCTATAGACACGTATGATATTCAGTGTGGCGAACTCATTTCTCAGTGCTATGATAGAAAGTTTAAGCCACTAAGTCATCATCAAACAGTCTACAGTTTCATCTTCAAGCAGTTTGCAGATAGCTACTGTTATGATATGAATTCTCATGCTGTTTTTAAATCTTTAATCAATCACGCTCATTTAGTGTAAGTTAGCACGTTCACACACACAGGACAGGTGAAAAGTCACTGAGCCTCGAACAAACCATCCATCAGGCTGAACTTTTTACTTTAGAAAACAGGTTGCTGACCCGCAGACAGTCTATCAAACATTGCCAAGGTCAAGCATGACTGGTTGGTGTGATGTACATTTATCAAGTCTTACAAATAGATTTGTATTTATAACACGTTTATTTTCTGAAGTCGTCAACGTAGGGCATCACATAAAAGTGGTTCGTGTCAGGTGTCAACCGCTAGACGTAATTCGGACTTGAGCTAGGAAGTCCCACTGTAGTGATCAAGAACACAAATGGAGACAACCAAATGTTATTGAATATCGAAATACAGAATTTCATGCTGAAATCTGAGAACCATACAATAAATATCTCATTTGCGAAATGTATATTAATTGTCCCAGACTTTAGTGTTTCTTCCTTTACACACCAAGCACTCTCTGTTACCGTTCTCTTCTATTAGATATTCTTAACCTTCTGATGCTAGGATTTTCACTTTCTATTAATGTTACATACTACTGATATCGATCTGCATAAATAATCTGCACCACAATACCATTTCCGTCCAACACAATTAGATCATGGTCATTCACACAGACCACCTACATTATTGATCTAGCTAATCCTAAAGAGTTACGAGCTAAAATGGAACTAACATCAAATGGTCCCTGATTTATTAGTTGTTCCAAGTTTACATCAGTTCAAGACAAAAAATAATTTTCTTATTTCCAGGTTTTCGGAATATTCCCTTTCTTTTATTTGTTTACAGTATTATGTAGCTAAGGTGTCGAGACAACTTGTATTATACAATACAATATTAATAATTTACAATAATAAATTGAATTACAAATAATTGAAATTAGAAAATCCAGTGAGTTGACTAAATTAAGTATGAATATTTGGACTTGATTTTACTACATCTTCAAAAAGTTTCAGAGTATCTATTGCAGTACCCCAACTTAATGCAACACCCATTGAACCATGTCCATAATTATGTATAATTGGTAAAGGTTCACAGGTAATTTCAGGTTGATACCATTCAATCTTATAGTAATTATTTGATATTTAAAAAAGAAAGAAAAAAGAAATTATCTTTAAACAGCTGACTTGTTAAAGAAAATATTGCACTATTTGGTGAAATAGAGTCTTGTGTTTGTAAACGTAGTGAAGTGTACCGGTTCGTTGTATCATTTCTAGGGTGTTTTTAGACCCGTGGGGTCCAATACTTGTTGGGTAGAAACAAGTATCGACCTCAGATAATGGATGAATAGTTGAGCGGCCATTCATGGATCGGTGGAAGTTCTACACTAACACCATTGGATTCCGGCTCTGTGGAGTAAAGGCTTAGACTGAGGGCCCTGGGTTCGAATCCTGCCAGCGGGATCGTGGATGAGCACTACTGAGGAGTTCTACAATAGAGCGAAACGGCTGTTCGATGCTTTTAGGTTTTCAGTGGTGGTCTAACATTAAACGATTCATGATCTCAATCAAAAAGATTATGAAAATGTCTAACCAAGATATAATCATGTAAATAAAGTTGAGGTCATTCATGTAGGTTTTGTGTTCATTCCGTCATTTAAGTGTAAATTGTATCTAGAAGCTTCAAAAATTTACGTCGTTGAAGGGTCAGCGAACATGGCTTAAAACATAATAGAATAACTGTATTATATTAGCGAAGGATAATCCTTCAAAAATTAAATATACTACTGAAATTTCTGTCTACTTTTTAATAACTTTTTAGTTTATTAACTCTTTCATATACTCTCTAACTGTACAGATCAATTTGCTACTAACTTGTTAAAAGTTAGATACCAGTCGGAATGGATCAATCGTATATTTATCCAACAGTGTACACTTGAACATTTGACATAGGATGATATGATACATCGAACCGGATTATCAAATCGATTACTCAGTTATATGTAAATCAATAAACTTCAGTAAAAGGACGCTTGAAAACTTACTTCTAATTTTATAGATGGCCTGAATGGACGTAATCCTGTCCATTCTTCAACTATTGGTGAGTTGCCTAGTCCTCCATGCCAAGTGCTATCAATTCTTTGAAGAATATCTTTTGTAGATTCAGGTGATACTCTTATATCATCATCTGTTGTAGGTCTTTTTAAAACTGGAGGTAAATGTTCACGAAATCCTCCAAGAATTACACTCTCTTTTCCTGTATAACAATATGTATCATCGCGCTAATAAAAAGAGAGAGTAATTTAGAAAACTGTTAACATATCATTAGTTAGAATAGGTCGCTGTAAATCTTTAGACATGATCTAGACATGAGATAGAGGGTTTAACTTGATTGGAATCTATTGAAACAAAGAAATTATTGTCATATAGGTAGAAAAAGGCACTGAATACATACATGCCACACTTCAACATTCGATTTATGTGGGGGTTCGGATACTACCTGGGCGCCCAAACTAAAGCGAGTGATTCACTTGAGGAGTTACACCCCGAGCCTTCAACCTACAGGTTTAATCCAAAAGGTAGTGGAGTAACGTCAGGAGATTCAATCACACGGTAGCGGGTGACCAATAGTTGGTTCATTAGCCATGTAAGGTGTGATCGATTAACGAACTCACCAATGATAAAGTGAAACGCCCACCACCACATTAACTTTCCTTGACCTTGTATGACTATGTCTTGTTTATTCACCAATCACAATTTTATGTTCATTACAAAATAATATTTGCCTTGTTGAATCATTTTTCCTATCCTCTAGTTGCTGTTCGGTATGTTATTTATGTCTCCGTTTTTCCCTGTGTTAATAGACTGTATTGTTTGTCTTGTACACTGACGGTGTTAATTAGTGTTTTAGAAACAGTTGAAGTTTATCAAGTCAAATAGCTTACTTGTTCTGACTTTGGCTAAAGCAAGGCTCTGTGATCGACAGTCTAGAGAATAGCTTAGAGTTGCACCTGTATGAAATTGCTTCCTACAAGCCATTTGATCCTTCAGAATCTTGTAGCCCACGTGCACCATTGGTTCGGAATGACGGTTTTTAAACTCCCCTAGATGGATCCTACATATTCACTAACCCGGTTGAAGCACCGGACATTTGCTTTCCGTCCTCTTGATTTTGAGATTAACCATTTTCAAAGCACTCGATCACTATGTTGACAATTCAAACATAGATCATGACATATTTCAAGAAGTAAGTATGGTGGTTCAATCTTATTATTCAACATGAAGTAATAACGCGAAAAAAATCATCACTTTAGTCAAACATTGAGACTATGGAAATCCATCAGAAAAAAGTTTATTCAATTACGTGATGAAAAGTTGACTGAAGAAAAATTATCTCGAGAAGAGAGTCATTTACATAGAAAATAAATGAAACAAACTGATTAAGTTCTTACGATGTAATTTTATAGTTGAATTTGTAATCCTGCTTACTAACTTCTCACGGCATTACTGTTGCTCACGAAATTGAGAGGACGAAGAGCGAATGTCCGGCGATGTAGCCGGGTTGGTGAAGATGAAGAATCCACCTAGGGGAGTTGGAAAATCCTGATTTCGTACCAATGGTGTACATGGTCTACAGGATCCTGATGGAACTAGTGGTGTGTGAACCTATCATTGGTCACCGGTTACCAAGAGAATTTACGTCCTGACATTACTGCACTACCTTGTGGATAAGACCTTTAGGTCTGTTATGGATAATGTCCTCAATATCTGACTCCAAATAATAATATCCCGTAACTGAGTATTTTAGCTAGGCTTAATCTCCTAGTAGAATTGCGAATTTACTCGAGATTATTAAAAAGCCTGAACACCAGTTATAGAGATAGTTTATTGTTAATGAATAATAATAATCCACAAGCGCACGATGAGCAAGCACACGATGAAACAGAGAGAGTGTGTGTGAGTGAGTTAAAAATCCATATATATTTGAGAGTTAATCGGGTGTGGATAAATTATCGATTATCTGCACATTGCAACCAATAGGAGAATAGCTTAAGAGTTAATGTACAGACATGCATTCGATCATACACACCGAAATTAACATAGTGAATTGAGTCTGAGTTACAATGACTAGACAAATGATACAGTAGCCAAAAGGGCTTGCTACATAAGCTCCCATCCAGAACATTGATGTTTTTATGTACCAAAAAAAAAAAAATTCGATTAACATCTATGTTCGACAAAGAGATAAAGAACGGAACTGTTTTTAAAATAAAAGTACAACTCAATATGATGAGTAAGCGTAAAATTGTAATAACAGCTTGTGTGTTGAAACGTTTCATATCATGTATATACAAGTGTAAATTTAACATTAATGAATTGTATAAAGTTAAAATGTAAGCATAATGGTGATCCGTGGGGCCAATAAAAAAAATAGTAATCAATATAAAGTAGGATTTTTATGTGTTATAAGAGTAGTCTCAGGATTTGGTCTAGATAAATATAGTGGTTGCTACATACCTATCTGGCCAATGTACTCTTCTTCCTGATCTTGTTGTAGTTTGTGCTGCTGCTGAATTTTGATTTGAAATGTTGCTTGTTGCAGGTAGTTTGAATGGTGCTTGCTCTGCTGCGGGTTTAGACGGTTTTACAGTTGCCTGTTTTTCAGTGTTCTCTAAAAATGCTGGTTTTACTCTATCGATGCTAACTGTATCATGTTTACCTGCTCTTTCCACTGTAACCGTTTTAGTGTCCTTTCGGATGATTTTAAAAGGGCCGTCGTAAGGAGTCTGTAACGGCTGTCGTACTCTATCATTTCTGACGAATACATGTGAGCATTTGTCTAGTTCGTTGGGTACGAATGATTTCACCTTTTGGGTTCGTGGTTTAACGGACCTAATGGATTCCATCTGCTGTTTTAATTGTTGTACGTAGTTGGTTATATCTGCTGGAATATCTGTTGCACGGTCAAAAAATTCACCAGGCAAACGTAATGTTGTTCCATAAACCAACTCAGCAGCACAACAACCGAGGTCTTGTTTGATGGTTGAGCGAATACCTAATAGTATCAAAGGGAGCTTGATATCCCATTTGTAATCTCCTCGTGCGGCCGTCAAAGAGGCTTTTAACTGTCTATGGAATCTCTCTATCATTCCATTAGCAGACGGATGATAAGCAGTGGTTCTAATTCTCTTTATACCGAAAGTATCTGTAAGTTGCTGAAATAGTTTGCTTTCGAATTGCGTTCCACGGTCGGTCGTAATTGTTGTAGGGACACCGAAGTTTGTAATCCAGTGTTTCACCAGCTTCTTCGCCACTGTTGATGCTGACGTGTCTTTTAACGGAACAGCTATGGGCCATCTCGTAAATCTATCTATACATGTTAGTATATGCGTGTAACCATTAGAAATCGGTAACGGCCCAACAATGTCGATATGAATATGGTCGAACCTAGCGCTAGCGGCGGGAAAAATTCCGGTAGGAGATATGATGTGCCTATGTACTTTTGACTTTTGGCATTGGACGCATTCCCGTGACCATTTTCTTACGTCTTTGTTTATTTTTGGCCATACAAATCTATCTGTGACAAGCTTTACAGTGGCTTTTATACCTGGATGAGATATATTGTGTAATTTCTCAAAAATATTTCGTCTCATACCGAAGGGTACAAAAGGGCGAGTTTTACCTGTTGAGGTATCACAAGCTAAGGTGTCCTTGTTGTTAATGGGGATGTTTTGGAATAATAATTTCGTTTCCTTAGACTGCAAAAGCTTTTGTAGCTCCGTATCGAGCTTTTGATGCTTTGCCATTTCTTGATAGTCTATATCAGGGGTCGAGAAGGTATTGATATTTAATCTCGATAGTGCATCTGCTGCCTCATTTGCATTGCCTTTAATATAGCGTATATCAGCTGCAAATTGTGAAATGAATTCTAGTTGACGAATTTCGCGCGGACTGTATTTATCATGATTGTGCATCAAGGACTTAGTTAGAGGTTTGTGATCAGTATATATCGTGAAAGAATTGCCTTCTAACATATAGCGAAAGTGTTTGATGGCTAAGTAGATAGCTAACAGTTCTCTACCGAATGTGCTATATTTTGTTTGCGTTGCGTTGAGCTTTTTTGAGAAAAATGCAAGGGGTTGCCATTGTTCATTGACACGTTGCTGAAGTACAGCACCTACTGCTACGTTAGAAGCGTCGGTCATTATTGCTAAAGGTGCATCAACCTTTCGTCGTGCGAGTAATGCCTCTGTGCTTAAAGCGCTTTTCAACTGATCAAATGCTTGAATTGCTTGCGGTGTCATTGCTAATGATTTAGCTCGTCCCCTTAATAAATCAGTTAGTGGTTTTGCTAAGTCTGCACATTTAGGGATAAAACGTCTGTAAAAGTTGATCATCCCAAGGAAACGTCGTAGTTTCTTGAATGAATCAGGCAAAGGATAATTTTTGATAGCTTGTGTTTCCTCAGGAACTGGTTTAATGCCTTGCTTATCAAGTACGTGACCTAAAAAGGTGAGGGATTGTTTTCCGAACTCACATTTGTCAGGATTGACCGCTAACCCATACTCGTTTAGCTTCTCAAAAAGCATTTTCAAATGCGTTAGATGTTCATTTTCATCTTTGCTTGCTATAAGTAGGTCATCTATGTAAGCATACACAAACGGTAAGCCCCGTACCACTTGGTCGATAAAACGCTGGAAACTTTGTGCAGCATTCCTTAATCCGAAAGGCATGCGGACGAATTCGTATAGTCCAAAGGGGGTAGTAATGGCTGTTTTAGGAACATCGTCCGGATGAATTGGAATGTGATGGTAAGCACGGACGAGATCAACTTTTGAAAAGATCGACACGTCAGATAGGCTATGAGTGAAGTCATGCAGATGTGGGAGAGGATATCTATCTGGTACGGTCCGGCTGTTGAGAGCTCTATAGTCACCGCACGGTCTAACTTCGGAAGAGTTTTTCTTAGGTACCATATGAAGCGGTGATGCCCACGGACTATCGGAGGGGCGTATGATGCCCAACTCAATCATTTTGTTGAATTCGTTCTTTGCGATAGCCAGACGAGAGGGATCAAGGCGTCTTGGACGTGCGAACACTGGTGGACCCTCTGTCTTTATGTGGTGTACGACGGTATGCGTCGGTTTGTCGTGTTTGAAACTCGGTCGTAATAAATCTGGAAACTGATTAAGTAAATTGACGTATTTGTCGTTCTCTTGATGAGGTTTAACTAATAAATGTATGGAAGTCTCATTTGATATAATTCCTCTAATTTCTTTACTTTGTTCGGCAAGGACAAGTTTCCTATTTCTGACGTCTACCAGTATTTTGTGGAATTGCAGAAAATCAATGCCGATTATAGGAACGAGGACGTCCGCTATGATGAAACTCCAGGAAAAATTAGATTTAGGACCGAAATTTAATTGCAACCGCCTTTTGCCGTACGTCTTGATGTCAGACCTGTTTGCAGCTTGTAATTTTAGTTTGGGGTCAGGTGTGTTTTTCTCGAGTGCAGTAGGTGGTACTACACTAACCTCTGCCCCAGTGTCGACTAAAAACTGTGTGCCGGTTCTTTTGTCTGTAACATATAATAGACGACTGTCTTGAAGTTTGTGGTCAGTGAGTGCAGTCGTCATTAACCTGCGGTCTTGACGTCCCTTTTTCTGTGTGCTTGCAAAGTTACAAGGCGGAATACATTTTCTAGCTTGTTTGCCATATGTTCTATGGTACCAGCAAATGTTGTGTCTAGTAGTGCTTGGACTACGTCGTCTACGGCTTGTGGATGTTCTTCTACGCTTGCTGTGGGAGGCATTCAATAATTGGATGTGAGCTATCTGTTTCGTAAGGATATCAACTGATCGTCGTAACTCGGCGATCTCGTCAGCTGAACTTGATTGGATTTGAGATACAAGGTGAGTCTTGGACCGTTCGTAAATTCTGTCGGCTATGTCTGCTAGCCTATCAAAATCAACGTCTTCGTCTCCCATTGCTAGTATCTGTTGAATGTTTTGAGGAAGACGTCTGAGCCACAATTGATATAGTAGACGTTTGTCTACTGTACGACTTCCTAATAAGTTTGTCATGTGGCGTTTTAACTGTGACGGTGTATTGTCACCTAGCTCGACGTTGGCTAAAAGTTGATCGATTGTCTGTTGGTCAGTGAGAGATGTGACACGAATGACCTCTCTTTTTAGACAATCGAATGGTGAGTCAGGATCCGGCTTAAAAATGACATCCGGCACTTGTTCAATGACGTCATCTGGCAGCAGTGAATTTGCATAACTAAATTTCGTACTCTGGTTTGTGATTTTGTTTGCTACAAAAAAGCTTTCTAAACGAGCGAACCAGAGTTCAGCCTTTCGTGAATTAAAAGTAGGTAAAGGTACAGAGATGGCACCCACGGAAATAGATTTAGATGAAAGGCTTAGCGAATTATCAAGTGCCATGATACGAAGAAGCAATAGTAATAATAAGCCGAGGATTGTAATATACAATATGAAGAGAAATCAAAAATAACAACAAGAAATATATATAAGACTCACCGAAAAGAAAAACTGTCACTTTTGGTTTAAATATGCGAATATACAGCAATAATTCCAAAGGAACAATGCTATGGATGGATTTATTATGACTGTTAATGAATTGTTAATAATTGTAATAGTAATTCCAATGTGAAGTTCTTTAAGATACGCTTGGAGAGTATGCAGCAGAATTCGTAGAGGAATGGTGTGTGTTCTAAAAGCGGTTCACCAATATGTTATGGATAATGTCCTCAATATCTGACTCCAAATAATAATATCCCGTAACTGAGTATTTTAGCTAGGCTTAATCTCCTAGTAGAATTGCGAATTTACTCGAGATTATTAAAAAGCCTGAACACCAGTTATAGAGATAGTTTATTGTTAATGAATAATAATAATCCACAAGCGCACGATGAGCAAGCACACGATGAAACAGAGAGAGTGTGTGTGAGTGAGTTAAAAATCCATATATATTTGAGAGTTAATCGGGTGTGGATAAATTATCGATTATCTGCACATTGCAACCAATAGGAGAATAGCTTAAGAGTTAATGTACAGACATGCATTCGATCATACACACCGAAATTAACATAGTGAATTGAGTCTGAGTTACAATGACTAGACAAATGATACAGTAGCCAAAAGGGCTTGCTACAGGTCACAGGCTCGGGGTGTGACCCCTCTAAGAGAACCATGTGCTACGGTTTGCGTAGCTAGGGAGTATCATGGCCCACATACGAGTCAAGCGACTTGTATAGTGCATATGTATTTGGTACCCCTTGGTACCGATATTTGTGTTTAAATAAATAAATAATAAACAGAACCGAGTTAGAACTATAATAGTGTTGAAATTCAGTTACTTTCTTTTTTTAGATTCAATTGCCAATGCAATGCTTTATAATCATAATAAACTTCTTGTTACAGTTAGCTATACAATATACTCTTGTGGGCTAGGGTAATTTACACCATCCAGACTTTCACGTGATAACCCGAGCAGTACAGCTCAATCGCACTTCACAGGAGAATCAGAAACCGAGTAGGCTTTAATGCTACAATCTGAAGAGTACAGCTCAATTACGTGGCGCGACCACACAGGTACCAAGCACCCTGGTGGACCATTCGTACCATTCATATACACATTCACGTCACATGTATGGTTATCCCGATCAATGATCGCGTGAGTCAAGTATGTACAGCACGAACAGGCAAAAGTTAACTCATCACGCTTTTACACGACAGTCAAACTCATTAGTGTTAGCAATGACGGCATGCCTTACGATGTCCCAATGACAATGTCCCTTGAGAACACTGAAAAGTAACCACCGGTATGAATGAAATCAGTTAACCAGTAAACCGATTTTGTGCATGAACAGTCAGCAAAACTTCCCAAAGTAATGCCGAACCATCCACAATATCAATGGCAAACCTCCAGTCTCATATGAGACCTTCAGCTCTACATAGACATAAACTTCTTGTAGTGATTCATTAATGGGACTTATTATTTTGAAGTTGGTTGACAGTTTGTGTATGTGAGTGTGTAAGTTTGAATAGGATAATGTTTGTTCGATCGACATGGTGAACTACTTCACTTTCTACGATGAATAAGTAAGATATCTGAAATTTATCACTAAAAGTGTCAAGATATTTTAATACCAACTTTGAGAAGCACAACTTTCAACTACTGATTCACATAATGAATAATGAATAAATCTAGCTAACTGTTGTTGTAGTGAAATATGACTAATTACGTATTATTGTTTAATCATATCTTGCTCAATAGACTGCCGTACCACCAATCTAACAAATGATACAACATTCACTATTTAATTGTATATAATGATAATGTCACCCATTTGTAGTGAACCAGAACACAATTGGGATCAGTCAAGAATATTCGAATACAAAAGCACAGAATCTCTTAGTAAAATCCGAGAACCATATCGTGAATACTTCATTTGTAAAATGTTAATCAATCGTCTCAGACTGCATTGTTATTTCGCTTCCTCATCAATCATTCTCTGTGGTCGTTCTCTTTTCTTCGATCTACTTAACCTTCTCTCACCAGGCATTTCATCTTCGATTGATGATACATACTACTTATATCTATAGATATGATGGTGGTTGAAGGTAGTCAACAGAAAACTCTGGACCTAGTTTTCATGCTATTTGACACTCATCAGAAAGGTGTATCTGTAATCTTGAGGGAACTGATGCTTCCTGACATATTTGATTCCGTGTCATCCAACTTCACAGTCAGAGACGTTACCACTGAGCTATCCAGGCAACGACTGACCTCCCATCAGGGAACACCAGTTCCCTCAAGATTACAAGTAAATCTTGCTGACGAGTGCTAACTATCATGAAACCCGGGTCTATCATACCCATAAGATTCAATTGTTTAAAGTTATACAATCATTTACCCTGTAGTGTCAGTTATTATGTTAAGCCCATATAGGCTATGCTAACTTCTGGATAAGCCAATCTATTCACTCTTATTGAGTCACATCTTGACATTGTCACTTGTTCGCTTATTAAACATGATTGCTTTTTATATGAGCCTATATGTGTTCACATTCCTGTAGCTTATTTCTATCTGATTGATTCATACGCCATCTCCATTGGACGTCCTTTCATTTCACTTCACTCTTCCTTCTCCACTTCATTTGCTGCGATTCTCTGATTGCCTGTTCCGATCAACGAGGAGATTGATTTAATATTTAGATAGTGTTCTCCAAAGATTAACCTAACTTGATCATGATTGCGAACTGCTAAAGAGTCCCACAATCGAATGAAATGACCGTCTAGTGCTTCTAGGTTTTCTATGATGATCTAGCTTCAATTAATTAATAATCTCAACTATTGAAACACATTTAAAATACCACTGATAACTATGAAACATTAAATAAAGATTTCATACAAATTTACAACTTTATTGAAGTGTAGACTTATGAACATATCAAACATCCCGAGCTCCCAATTTTGGCGGAAATCTGACCCATTTTGGGAACATTTTGAGGTTTTATTGCCATTTCCCAAAAATTTCCCCAGACCTGGGGAAATTCCCCAGTATTTCTCCAAAATCCCCCTTTAACCTTCGTCAAGGTCATTCGACTTTGGAGGTTTCCCCGAAATCTCCCCAAACATTGGTGAAGGTCATTTGACTTAGTGAGTTTCCCCAAATTACCCCAAAACTCTTCCCCAAAATTGGGAGCTCGGGATAGAAAATAGAGCACACACACAGTGTAATCTTTGATCTCATATTGTTAAAAAGAAAAAAAACACACAGAAAGAAACACATTCACTTACCCCGAAATAGAATCCAAATTTCATCCATGGTGCTAGAACACGTACTAATTGACCTTTAACTGGTCTTATTTCTGGATCATGAAATAAATAACCTGATCCTAATCCAGTACAATTAATAATTATATTGATTTTTTGTTGTTTAGCCCAATAATATAATTCATTTGAAGAAGTAAACGCAATCTCTCTTTCACTATAAATAGATTGATCATTTGGAATTAAATTTTTAAGTTCATTCAATAAGTAATTCATATAATAACGTGGTTCTACAATACATGTTGTATAATAATAAGCTGATTTAATATGCTTAGCAAATCCAATAGACTGAATCTATTAAGTTAAAGCAAAAAAATACAAAACAAAACAATCTTGAGTATGGAGTTATAGAGATGATGTAGTTTTTTAACTGAGATCATGTTAGATCACTATTGAATACCTGGAAGTATTGGATGGATGTTTCGTCCTATTGCAGGACTCATCAACGGTGCATATCCATGGCTCCACCTACGAACCGTTGGATACTGGCTCAATGGTTAAGGATTCGTGTGTGAGATCAATAAGTCCTGTATTCGAATCCCATGAGCACGATTATGAATGCACACTATTGAAGAGTCCCACAATAGGACGAAACATCCGTCCAATACTTTCAGGTTTTCAATGATGATCTAACACTCATCAATTCATGATCTTAATAAAAAACACATCTTATTTACCTCTTCTTCATCTAAAAATACAGTTTTTCCACATAATTTACTTATAAATGGTCTATCAAATTCATTATATTCTGATAATTGATAAGTTGGATGAAAGTATACACCAGTATTCGATGAATTCCAACTAGTTGCTAATTTCCAATATTGTTCACGTCCAGCATTACACCAACGAATAAAATCATTGAATTGATCCTGATCATATTCTGATCCTGGTAATAATTTAGGATCTGGTCTAAATATACCAGCTGCACCATAACTAGTAACCATAACATTTTTCTTATCAGATTGTATAAGAATTTCTACATTTGAATAATTTTCTTTAATTAGAATGCTGTTGATAGACCAATAATACCAGAACCAATGATACCAACTTTCATTGATAATATTTTGTAATAATATTGTTATTTTGATGTTATTACCTACTTAGTAACTAAACTGATCATGACCTTGACATTGAAAATCTGATTGGTTGCCTAAATGGAAAAAGAATAAATTAACTAATAAAAATGTATTGATTAAATAATAAATGATACTGACTATAAATCAATATGGATAAAATGAGGAATATTGTTGTGGATTGGTTGAAGTTAGATATTAACACCGTTGGATGCCGGCCAGCTCAGTGACCTATGATTAAGCGCTCGCGCGCGTGGCGGGGTCGTGGATGCGCACTGCTGAGGAGTCCCATACTAGGACGAAACGACCGTCCAGTGCTTCCAGGTTTTCCATGGTGGTCTGGCTTCAATTTGCTCATGACTTCAACCATTGAAATTGTCAATAAGATTGATTGTGAAATCATAAAACAATAACACAAATAAAGTTCGATTGGACCATGGTAACTGAATTCAGTGTATCAGATAGTAACAATCTATCGATTATTATTAGGTATTAAAATGTTAAGCAAATATGAATAATGGTTAGCAGTAGAATCCAGGATGTGAGTTTCGTCCTGTTTGAGGCTCGTCAGTTGGATGTACCTGCACCATAGATTTGATGTTCACTCTGGGACTCGAACTCAGTACTGTTCACTTACAATGCCACCTCCTTGTGCAACAGGGTGAAGTTTAAATTCATTTGGTGTTGTTTTACTTGTATCTTACCAGTGTTATTTAGGACTGCAATTGATCAGTCACTTGTTAGCATATATGTATCCTATGCGGATTGCCTCGATATAGGCTTGAGTCACAAGCTTTTTTAAGCAAAGATAAATAGTGGTTAGCAGTGGAATCCAAGACACGAGTTCCGTCCTATTTGGGATTGGTCAGCTGGATACACCTGCATTTTAGAGTTGATGTTCGCTGAATGAAATAGATACACCATGCTCATAAACATATCAGATTAGCTAAGTGGATAACGCGATGATGTTTGAAGCGAACGATACTGGGTTCGAGTCCCGGAGTGAACACCAACTCCAAGATCATGTTTCGTTGTTACGTACAGTGTGTTGTTATTTCTGGACAGACTTGTTTAGCAATAGGTTTCTTCAGAATTCCTCCTTTTTGATTATTGTGTTGTAGTGAACTAGAACAAATAAGTGGAGACAATCGAATGTATTTTAATACAAAATTACAGAATATTTTAGTAAAATCTGAGAACTATATAGTGAATACTTCATTTGTAAAATGTCAATCAACCGTATCAGTCTTTATTGTTCAAATCATTCTCTTTCCTTCGATCTTCTTAACCTTCTGCTGTCAGGTATTTCATTTTTGGTTACTACTTATATCTATTGACATCAGTAGCACACACCCAGTGTTAGATATCATTCTCCTTGTGTTACGTTGCAGTTGTTCAGTCTATCAAGTTTTTGTAGATCCGGACATTGCGCTAGGAGAATATCGCAGTTATTTATAATTAGGAATTACTGTAGGTTGATCACAATAATTTATTTTCAATTGATTAGTCACTAGATGGTGATCAATGTCATGTGTATTAGGCCCTTCTTAATGCAGATTGAATCCTATCAATCAAGTTGCAATGAATCCACTAGTTTAGGTGATTCGATATTGCGTGCACTATGTTGAGATATGATGGTGATTGAAGGTAATCAACAAGAAACCCTGAACCTAGGTGTACCTGTAATTTTGATATGGACTGATTCTCCTTGACGGATTCAATCCAATGTCATCCAGCTTCGCATTCAGGGACGTTACCATTAAGCTATCCGGTCCATGACTGACTTTCTGTAGGACTAACATAATGGTGGTCATCACCCAGTGATCAATCAATTGTAAGTACACAGTGATTATCAGTCGCCTCAAGATTACAGGTACACCTAGGTTACTTTTATTGATATAAGTAGTATATAACGCGAGTAAGGAATGTAATGTCTGGCAGCAGAAGATTGGGAAGATCAAGAAAGGAAGAACGGGAATAGAAAGCAATTAGTATAGAAATGCAAGAACAATGAAGTCCGAGACAGTTATTGAACATTCTGCAAATTGGGCATTATAGTATGGTTATTCTATTTTACCAAGTAACTCTGTAATGTTTTGATTAATATATTTCGGTTGCCCTCACCTGTGTTCTTCCTCACTACATTTCGTGTCGCTGCCTCGACTAAGGATGAAGATTCCATGGCCGAAGGAAACTGAGGACGGAGATGTGCTGAGCTTCCTGAATGAATTAGAGGCCGTGGCGGAGTTGGTGGGAGTGAAGGAGCCGAAGGCGAAGGTGGTGGTGCTAGGAGCGCTGCTGATAGGCAGCTCAAAAGGCTGTATATAACAGCTTGGACGGCGCTGGCAGGAATACGACATGGGAGACAATCACGGATCGGTTGATGGCGGAGTTTGACAACCCAGTGGACGGGGGGTAGACACTGCAGAAGTTCCGGTTGGTGAGGTTGTCGGTCGATGGTGACCCACTGGTTCTGGCTGTGGAGCTTACCAGGTTGTTGCGCCGTGCGCTGCTGAATCTGGATGAACAGTCGGAGGCAAATTTGTTGGCGTCGTAGTTTCTCGAAAGTGTGCCTGCCACCGTTTTCCAGCAGCTGAAACCAGTAAACGCAGCACAATCTATGGATATTAGTGAACTAACGAAGGTGACTCGACAGCTGATGACACGAACAGTAGCTCCAGTCGGGTGAGGAAAGCAAGAGATAAATATTGTCGAGAAGAAGATTGAAGAGCTGAAGCGTGAGATTGCGGCAATAGGGGTGAATCATAAAAGGAATGATAAATGTTCAATAATTGTCTCGAACTTCACTGTTTTGCATTTCTATACTAATTGCTTTCTATTCCCGTTCCTTCTTTCTTGACCTTCCTAATCTTCTTCTGTCAAGACGTTACATTCCTGACTCGCGTTAAATACTACTTATATCAATATAAGTAGCACGCACCACAGGTCTAGAGTTTCTTGTTGACTAACTTCAATCATCATCTATTCAAAATGGAACTTATCCATTATATAGAATATATATTTACCGGATGAACTGTATACTATATCTATCTATCAATGAACATATACAAAGTTATAATTAGATTTAATGTTTATCAATTATTTCTATGTATCATTCATATTCTGTTCACACATAAATTTTATCGGATAATTCATTACCATAAACATACAATTAATGAATTAGTTTATTTATCCATTGAATAAACAATGTTATGGATCAAAGACATTGACCTGAAACTGTTTACAATCTTATTTGTTGTTATGGTTAAAGTCAGTAAAACGAATTCGTTTGACATGATCAAACAATAAAGGGGGTATGATATATATATATCATATTGATTGAGCGGGGAGGGGAAGGGAGAGGGGGGGGAAAGAATGAAATCCATGATACAATAAATTAGTGTTTATTGTCGGTGATATGTTTTTAATCTTACAATTATAAGTAACCGTATGGTGAAAATTGTTTTTCATTAAGATACTCAGTAGATCGTAGAAAATTCTTTATAATTAGTTTTTCATTGTTTATTTGAATAGATAAATATTGATACAAAGGGGGGGGGTATCAAATACATATGCATCATACAAGTCACTTGATTTGTGTGTGGAATGTGATACTGCCCAGGTGTTCAAACCGAAGCAAGTGGTTTTCTTAAAGGGGTCACACTTGGAGCATTTGACCTAAAGGTTTGATCTTCAGGGCAATGGAGTGACGTTAGTAGATTCAGCCACATAGTAGACGGTGACAAATAATTGATTCATACACCATTTTTTCTTTCAGAATACTCGAGCTCATGTGCACCATTAGATTGACGAGAAGGTAGTTAGTAAAACTTCTCTGACAGTGGCTGTATACACATGGTCATGTGAGAGCATTTCGAAAGAGACAGAGTTGACTCTCCCACCGTACCAAAGCATTTGGCGGCCAATCGAGTAGTAATGTAACATAATAATCACATAACTTCAGAATGATTATAAAATAACGTCACGGCACACTGATTAACTACTTCTTAAACAATCAATGCTACCGGATACTTAGAGAAGACTCTAGAATCTTTTTATATAAAACATATAAATATACTAACATTCTTCTTATTGTGCTTCTTACTTCCATCAATCCTTGTTATTTGGAATACAATGATGTTCCTATTCAACGGTGTTCTGATATGGGAACTTGTCGTGTGAATTAGTGTCCAAGTATACCAAACAATAAGTTTGACTGGGTCGTATTAAGACAGATCATAACATTATCTACTAATAAGTAGCATGTATTTGTTGCTAAAAGAAACTAGCCCTTTTTCGATGATCACTTGTCTATTCATAAAAGACTAATCACAGAGAAACTGTATAATTATCATATTTTCTGAATATGAAAGCAAATGATGAATTATAAACTTATCATTTAAGTAAAATATATGCAACTTCAATGGTTGAGATTATGAACCGATTGATGTTAGACCACCATGGAAAATTTGGAAGCACTGGATGGCCATTTCGTCTTATTATGGGACTCTTCAGCAGTACGCATCCACGTCCCACAATCTGAGTCTCACAACAGGACGAAACAACTATCCAGTACTTCCAGGTTTTCCATTGTGATCTAGCGTTAATTGACTTATGATCTCAATTATTGAAATTACTATAATATCTACAAGAAAACCCCTTCTGTTACTGAAATATATGTATCACATAGTTTCATTTAATTGCCTGATATTAATAAGTTCAGGTTTTAGGAAATTTTTCGTCTATTATGAAGGTGTGTCTGATATAAACCCACTTAGTATTGTTTACTTGAATCTTCCCATTGTTGTGTAGAATTGCAATTGATCAGTCTCTTATTGGCATATGTGCATCCTGTGCGAATTGCCTTCATTCATAAGCATTACAAGCAAAGATGGATAGTGGTTAGCAGTGGAGTCCAGGATGCGTGTTTCACCCTATGTGGGACTCGTCAGCTAGATGTACCTGTATGAGTTGATGTCCACTGTGGGACTCGAACCCAGTACCATTCGCTTCAAACGCCGTCGTGTGATCCACTCAGCTACTAAGTCCTCATAGATACTTGCTTGTGCAGTGGGGTGAATTTAAATTCACTTGGTATTGTTTGGCTTGTATGTTTCCATTGAGGTTTAAGACTGCGATTGATCAGTCTGTTATTGGCATATGTGCATACTGTGCGTATGCCCCGATATAGGCTTAATTCACAAACCATGTTCACTCTGGGATTCGAACTCAACAGTTGGCTATCGGAACTCAGTATCTAAGTGTATAACGCGATAGAATTGAAGCCAAAGATACTAAGTTCGAGTTCTAGATTGAACATCAACTTTGAGATGTAGGTACATCCGGCTGATGAGTCTCAAGTAGGACGAAAACACTCATCCTTTGTTCCACTTCTAACCACTAACCATCCATCTTTGCTTATAAATTAAAACAATATCGAGGCAATCTGTATAAGATGAACATATGTCAACAAATGACTGATCAATAACAGTTCTACATAATAGTAGAAAGATACATATAAACAGTATCAAGTGTATTTTACATCTAAATATGTTGATTATATGTCATAATGATTAGTTTCTATTGTTTAGTTGAAAACCCTCATTCATCAAAATCTATTTCATTCATATTAGTTACTATTGGTTCAATGGTATGATTTCATAAAGTAATTGAAACTTTTTGTATGAAAACTTAATGAATGAACCAATAATGAAGGTAGTACTTAAGTGAATTCTATACAATTGACCTTATATACATATATATATAACCTTAAATGATCAAATATATTGGACTGGGTAACTAGTTTGGAGTAAAGAAAAGTATATTTTTATTATCTAAAATAAGGTTGGTTTATTTGTATTTTATAATTTCGTATTACTAACTTACTTACTTACGCATGTAACTCTTCATGGAGGAGAGTCGGCTGCTTATCAGCTTTCACCATTAAACTTTGCCTTGGATAATTCTTTCCAGTTGTTTCCAGTTTCTATTGATCCTTTTCATGTTTGTTACCAATTCTTGGAGCGTGTGTTATTTGATTCTCATCCTTTTTGTTTCGCTTCAAAATTCCGACTTAGGGTTTATCTTGTGATTCAGTTTGATGATTTCCGTATTGTTCATTTCCAACGTCTTTTTCCAATGTCTTCTTCAGCTGGAAACTGGTTTGTTTTCTCCCACAGAAGGCTGTTGCTTATGATATCCGGCCAATGAATGTTGAGTATCTTGCGTAGACAATTGTTTATAAATACTTGTACCTTCTTGATGATGGTTGCAGTAGTTTTCCACGTTTCAGCTCCGTACAATAGAACTATTTTTACGTTCGTATTAAAGATTCAGACTTTGATATTGGTTGACAGTTGTTTTGTGTTCCATATGTTGTTCAACTGGAGGAATGCCGTTCTTACCTTTTCAATACTCACCTTCACATCTTTATTAGATCTTTCAACATTCATTGATGATGATATTTTTGCATTAATGAATCTCAAGTTATACCTTTGAATAGTTCACTTAGATTAGTCTTTTACAATATGTTTATTGTAGATTTTATAAGTATATCCAGGAATTTGTCATGCTTCAATTGTATAAAAGTTTAAAGGAACACTCAAAATACACACCGATAACTTAATAGTCTTGTAGTGACTGTTTTTCGTTCATCAATCACCCTCGTAACCGTTACCATATAATCCTCAACGGTTTTTGAAATCAGAAGGCAAAGAAAAGCAGTGACTACAGTTTTATTAGCAGATACTCAAACCACAAAGCAGTGAGGCGAATGAGTGAGTCAGCGAACCGAGAGTGTAGAGTGTAAACGTACATGTATACATATAGGTTAAATGAATGGATCATCGAATCAATTAAGCAGCTAATAATAAAGCTAGCAGAATGAGTATATGCGTAGGCGGTAAGCAATGTTCACGCATACATATTTCATACAAGCACAACAATAATAAAGGTACAATAAGTTGTTATAGTATGGATGACTTTGTCCTCTAAATAAGTTAACAAAAGGGCTTAACTGAATTAAATGAGAACAAACTCAATTGCACGTGAGTTACTATAGTCTTCCTGAAGTTTGTGCTGAACGATGAAAACACCATGACTAAACCATCCATCTCAAACAATAAAACTTCATCAGATCGTTTAACGTTTGATCTCATATTAGATTGTATGTTTGAAGTGTTTAAAAAGTCTAGTAATGAACAAGAAACAATTATCCTTCCATGAATGGTTTACATTCGTAATCTGGTTATTGTTCACGGAACTATATCCGTTTGATTCAATGATTTAATGATCAAGAATTGAATTCACTTGATGTTGTTTTACATGTATCTTTCTATTGTTATTTAGAACCACAAATGATCAATCTCATGTTGGTATATGTGCATTCTATTCGGATTGCTTCGATATAGCCTTAAGTCATAAGCTTTTTAAGCAAAGGTGGATAGTAGCACAGGATGCATATATGTGTATATATCTATCGACATCAATAGGAAACACCACACTACAATCTCCATAAAATTTCCTACATTAATATGAGTCAATTATTATCACAATTTGATTTGACTTACCTGAACTTAGTGTTTGTTCCACTTTTCAGATATTCAACTAGAATACAATCATCAGCACATTGAAATCTTAGTTCATTTACCTCAATCGACATCATGAATAACAATATTCTTCTTGCAACCACGTTTATAATTCTTTCACTTCATGCTTCATACACTGCTCATATGAACACAAGTCTAACAGCATCGTTTAGTATTGGTTTAGGAATAACAACATTTGATGTCATTAAACAAATGGTATTAACATCTATGACTCAATCAAATAAACCAACTAGTCCATTATTGTTTAATTTTACGGATCCTCAAAATACACTTAGCAAATGGATTGAAGTATCAGATACAGTTCGAGTTGAAGGAAGATCTAAAGCTACACTTGTACCACATATTGGATATGTAGGTTTTTATTCAAATCTAATTAAATTGGAAAATATATTTAGAATTATCGATCAGCAATCTTCTTTTATTTACTTAATCCACAACCAAGTGGTGCTTGTTTTGCTGGTGTCGACTACATATTAGATGCTTGGGATTTGTCAGCATATACAGGTGTTGTGATTGATCTACATAGACAAGGTCAAAATTCTAATTTCAAATTGATCTTCTATGGAAATGTTCAGAAATATTCACTTGTCAATCATATGAGTCGTTTTTCGAGGTAATGTGATATTCAATTGTATAGAATAATTCAATATGTTTTCTATGAAATCTTTATAGACATCTGGAGAACGTCAACAAATAAAATTACCATTTAGTACATTCAAACCATACTTTCGTGGAGAGCCGAAATTTGATTTACCATCTTTAGATATAACTCAACTATCACGATTCGGTATACAATCATATGGTGGTATCTATGCACCGACAAACAATTTGGCCCAGGTTCCATTGAAATATTCACTATTTCAGCATATAAGGAAGATCAAATGCCAGCCTAAAGAAACCAAGACTACGTGATAGGTAGTACTTATTGATATTATGGTTCTGTTTAGTTTGTATTAGGTAGTTTTATCAATAAATTTTATATATTGACCAAAGAGTTTTGAATGTTTTCATGGGTTCCTTGGAATTCACATGAACATTATTGAAGACAAACGGTGATGTCTGTCATCTGGTTGATTGAAAAAGTAATCAAATAGTTAAGAATATGTTCTGTCTATCCCAAAAGTGAGATTATCAATTCAATAGTTTACATAGATTAGTCAGTATTTACTGGATCATCAAAACTATATGACGAATTTTAAGTATGAAATGACTGTATAAAACTGTCATAAATCCCCTGTTGGATTTAGAATAAACTGGTAAGACAGGTGAAATCAAACTGAAAATTTTGGCAAATGATTTGTATTCAACGACGGACTATGATTGATAACAACATAAGTAATGTAATATATGAACCTCAGTTCATGAGAGGCTTAAGGCGATTATTTTCATCAAGTTATGATCAAAGAGCAGCTGAGTCCCATACTAGGACAAGACGGCTGTCCAGTGCTTCCAGGTTTTCCATGGTAGTCTAGCTTCGAATGACTCATTACTCCTCAGCAGTGCGCATCCACGATTCCGCTCGCGGGATTTGAACCCATGGCCTACAGTCTCGCGCGTGAACGCTTAACCTACTGAACCACTGAGCTGGCTTCCAATGGTGTCAATGTCTAACCTGAACGAAACGGCCGTCTAATACTTCCAGGTTTTCAATGGTGGTCTAACATCAATCAGTTCATAAACTCAATAAAAAAACTTAACAGTCTCCACAACCCCTAAACTCATACAGTAAATAGTTAATTTGCAAATATCAATCGATTTTATTAAACTTGACCGTTCCTTTTGCAAATATCAGTCCATCATCCCAAATTTCATTGTTCAAGCATTTCCATACCTATTGATTTTCATTCCCGTTCTTCCCCTTTCGATCTTCCAATGAAATACACTCCATACCTGACCATCGTTATATACTACTGATATAGATATATGTATAGTATAATGTCAAGCCCTAATCATTGCATGTCTTTTTTTTTCACAGTAAAAGGATCTAAAATTCATATCCATGATTATTTAGCACATTCAATTTCTTAGTTTCATCAATGTTCGCGGTGTCAAGCATTTTCGTACATATTTAGGTTCATTTAGTGAATGAATACCGTAAGAGCTAGATTTTCACAGAGGATTTCATTCCAAGCTCTAACTATCAATTTATTTTCCAATCAGTATGTATAAGTAAATACCCGATTAGTACCTGAAAATTAGGACTATAGGTGTTTGTGTGTGTATGTGTAATATTCAGATCATAACTTTCCTTATGTGAAAAGGATGAATAACAAGTGGAAAGAACTGGGGAGGATTGCCCAGGACAGAGCTGCGTGGAGATGCTGTCAAGCGGCCTATGCTCTTCCATGAAGGGTAACGGGTGTACGTAAGAAGGTAAGTAAGTAGTGTCTGTGGTATCAAGTATTTTCTTACACATCCAAGTCCATTTGGTGGACGAAAACTGATGATCTCATTAGAAGCCCTAACTATCAATTTATTTGATTTTACAACCAGTAAGTTGGAATGCTATACAGTGTTGTGTTTATAGAAGACGACTGAAATGATATAACTTGTAACATGAAGCTATTATATACAGCAATCATACACTAAACGAACAGAAAAATGTTCGGAGATACCGGGTATTAAACCTACGAAAGCCAAGTCAGTGGTCTAATAGTTAAGCGCTGACGCGCGAAATTGATATGTCCTGGGTTCGAGTCTCGCCAGACGGCACCGTGGGTGTGCACTGTTGAGGAGTTCCACAATAGGACGATATGGCCGTTCAGTGCTTCCACGTGTTCCATGGTGATATAGCTTCAATTGACTCATGATCTCAACTTATAAAATTATTATACATTTATTGAATATCAGACAAAAGGATGGTTCATTCTACATGTACTAACACTGATCTGTGAAATTTAATCTACTTGTGATTTCAGTAGTATCCCTTTAAAAATTTAACTGTTCATTATATTTCCATACGGATTTAATGTACAGTTGTTAGGTATATACCTGATTCGTACCCCAGAATTCGAACTATAGGTGTGCATGTACAATATTTAGATCATAATTCTCATCAAATCTTGTGAATTATATGATATTTATTACAGCTATATCCCTTTCATGGATATTCATCTCTGAGGACATGCAAAGAACGAGAAAAGATGTTGATTATCTATAATTTGATTCGGTATAGGTCACTCAACAATCGGCTTGATGTAAGAGTTTCCCCAAAAAATTGTGGGAACAATTTAACAAACCTATACTGATTAACTGAATAAGTTTTTAAAATTTTTAGTAATGATGTGAATCATCCCGTGGAACATATATAGTGGTGGATTTAAACGAAGCAAATTTAAAATAAACAAAATGTAAATAGTGAAATAGTAGCTGCCTAAACACGGTAACTCAATGCATAAAGCATCAGAATTTACAGCGTTAGGCACTTGATAAGCGTCTTAGTGAAAATCAAAAATCCGAATGTAGGAACACTTAGCTGATGTGTGTCAAACAGCACAAAACACAAATAATAATTTCAAATGTTACCAAGATACAAACTAAAATAAATGAGTTCATTAGTTGAGATAATGTGTCAGTTGAAGCTAGACCACCATGAAAAACCTGGAAGCACTGAACGACCGTTTCGCCCTAATATGGGACACCTCAGCAGTGCACATCCACGGCCCCGCCTCGCGGGATTCAAACTCAACACCTATCAGTCTCACGAGAGAGCGCTTAATCATCAGACTACTGATCTCATCTATTGAAATTATTGCAATCTTCACAAAACACCCTCTTATAGTAAATAAGTTTTTAGATTTTGTAATAAAATGCCTATATCTTTGTAACATGGTAAGCCAATCAGAAGTAGCCTAACGAGAAGGTCAATCGATAATAGTCAGAAGCGACCTGAAAAACAAATGGATTTTATTGGTGAAGAAATGCGCTTGCGCGCGAGACCGACAGGTCCTGGGTCCAATTGACCGAGGCAAAATCGTGAGTGCATACTGCTGAGGAGCCCCGCAATAGGACAAAACAGCTATCCAGTGCTTCCAGGTTTTTAGTGGTGGTATAACATCAATCGCTTCATAATCTCAATTAAAAACTTTATAATCTTCACAACCTTTATACTGATAATCACCATGTGCTCACTAATAACTAGCTTCGCGAGGGAGTTTTCGGAGTTCTAGTGAGAAGCCGTGACCAATGGAGCTAATCGATGTCCGGTAGAGACAGGTATCTACCTTAGTACAATAGTGGATCGTTGAGCAATTTCATGGATCGGTTGAGTCAGACATTAATACCATCGGATGCCGGCTCAGTGGTCCAGTAGGTTAAGCGTTCGCGCGCGAGACTGAAAGACATGGGTTCTAGTAACGCGAGTGGGATCATGGATGCTCACTGCTGCGATGTTCCACAGTGGGACGAAACGGCCGTACATGATCCCTATTTTTCCATAGTGGTCTAGCCTCAACTGACTCAGAAAATCAACTATTGAATTACCACAATATCCACCAAAGTGGCTTCTGATTATAAAACAATAATAATCAAATGAAAGTAAAAAAAGAACACAGTTGAAACGTACCACTGAAGAGAATCAGGGCCAATTAAGGATAAGAAGTTGTATGAATCGTTATGAGTTGAACAATATCTACAAATATCTAATAAATATTCTATAGGTAACGTATGGTGTTTAATGTTTGTGTTGATAGTTCGTCAACGTAATTTTCAACGATTCACATCATGTATTACACAAAATCGAGTCATTATTCACCTCACAACACAGAAACCTCAAATACTCAACCAACCTAAAGTGGTCCTTAAAATAGTTTAATAACACAAATGATATGAACTTTGATCCTTTCACTTCATATCTATGGAATTTTGAATGTAAATAGAATATATATTCCAAATTGAGTTATAGTAAAGTTGGGTAGTTTAGTTAACTAGTACATAAATATTAGGTCTGTAAAGTGTGAAAGCGTGCACCTAATACGGAATATCAAAAGTTTATGGAATAGTAGAAAAGTAACATTGAAAGTAACTGTGAATCACTGTGATATTCTGAGCTAACATATACGGATGGAACGATTAGAAACCAGCCGACTAACCAAACACATTCCTGCTCATCGATTCTGAGTAGCATGTATCAGATGATTTCTTGTTAATATAGTGGTTGATCCATCCAAACACAAGTTGTCGCTGTGGGAGTTTACTGATAAAATAATCCACTTTTATTGAACCGGGAATTTGGGTGACATGATGAGTTAGCCATCTGCAGACCAAATGGTTAAAATGTTACAGTTTAACTTTCTCATTTACGTTGATTCACTATATCATATGACCATCATTCTCTGTTACTAGTGATAAACATCTAACTACCAACGCTGTACTCAGTTGTGTCTAACTTCACAATAGTTGACAATAGTTTCAATAAGAAATAATGACCAAACTAATGCAAATCCAGTGCTTCCAGGTTTTTAATGGTGGTCTAACATCAATCGCTTCATGATCTCTATCAAAAACTTAACAATCTCCACAACCCATAAAGTAATGCAAATATGTTAATAACGTAGCAGTGGTAATCAAATTGAACTGTGTTTCGGTAGTTGTAAAGTCGATTGGTAAATGATTGACAGGGTATCGATAATAACATGTAACTGATAAAACGAAACTGATAAGTGTTGATCATGATTTCCAGTAAGAAGTAGTCTTCAT